ACCCAAATCCCAACTTATTTTAAGAATTGCCAGTGGAGCAGCCGCGGAGCAGTGCATGAATTAGGCCCTGGGCTTGGCAGATTGCTGGGGGCTCATAGCATGTGGTCATTCATTCCCAGCTTCATTTCGAAAAGACTGTAAAACCATCCCAGATTTGGCACCATGGGGGCTATTGGCAAGGTGAACTCGGGCTAGGGAGTCTGGGCAGCCTCAGCAGACAGTCCAAAGCTTTGGCAGTGCTGTTCAGGGAAGCTTCACATGCACACTCCTCAGATCAATTTCCCTAGTGGCTAGGTTCAACCTTCCCAATCCCTATAAATGGGAGCAGCCAGGAGCCACAGGGCAACCTGAGGGTGATGTCTGGCCACCCCCAACAGCTGGGGGAGGGTCAGGGAGAGAGAGCTCCTGGACAGGAGAAGGGAGCTGACTGTAGACACAGATATTAATCAAACTGCTACTATTTTGCCTAGAACTTCTATCTTTTAAAAACCTACAAGCCAAAATAAGAGGAAAAGAGGCAGAAAGGGAATAGGAAATGCACATACTAATTGGTCAAAGTAAGAAATGAATTAATTCTACAAAGCAAAATTTTGAAGATGCCTTATGAACCTCAGTTAGAGGGGAAGTCAAGCACTCAGAGGTATTCTGCAGCAAATAAACACCAACTTAATAACTTTTCTTTTTCATGTTCACCAAAACAATACTATTTTCATTTTGGACAATAACAACGATCATGGCATTTAACAATGTCTTTTCCTTGTGATTATGAATTTTGGGGTTAAGTTAAAAATAAAAAGGAAAATTGACTGTGTACTGTAAAATGAAATTGCTTATTCCTTAACTTGAGTTGGATGGTGGGCTTTGGTAACTCTCGGGAATCAGAACATACTAAATCTCTGGGCAAACTCAAGGTCTCCTGGCTTGACCGTCCCATCACCGACCACAGTCAGCATGTTTCCCACACTCCCCTCCTGACCTCAACCCCAAATACACACATCCAAATGTTCAGTGTCTCTTTATAGGCAAAGAGCTCAACCTAAATGGTGGTAGATATCTTGTACTAGAACATTCTATGGCTAAAAAAAGAATCATCAAACTTCTAATTCTAATGTTGGAATTCTAACTTACAGTTTACAAATCTGTTGGGAAACTATTATTAATTCTCATTGTAGTCTGAGGAAAGTAAGTGCTTGGAGGAATCGACTGACTGCAGTCCTTGGTAGCCACAAGGGAATCTTTCTATTCTCCTGAGCTCTCTCTGGAACCTGCTTCAGAAGAGCTCCACAGCTAAAGAAAGGCAGGAGGTGGCCAGCAAATGGGCCTTCGAGAGGCTATAATGACAAATGCTGACTTGGAAAGAACAGAGCCAGGTGGACACTCTGGCATTTCAGACACAGGGGGCTGGGAACGCAACCAAAATCCTGTCGGGCTGTTTGAGCCACCGCAGTTAGGCAAACAGAATGACTAAGCATTTTCTGTCAATTAACTTATAAAATACTGAGGCTGGAAACATGACTTTGGTGATAGGAAATGGAGAGCAGCAATCCTGGCCCCAAAATAACTCTGGGCCACTTAACAATACCTATTTGAGCTTGAATTCCCAACCAGCTTTGTGGTAACTGAGTGGTTTGCCTGGGGAAAGCTACCTGCTGTGGACAGTGATTTGCAGCCAAACGTTAAAGGCTGCTGCTCTCCACTGTTGAGGAGAAGCACATCCCAGAGGTTTACCACCAAACTCTAAAACATGTCTGGGAACTCTGTCCTGGGCTTCAAGGAACACTCATGAGGTTCCTCTGCTGCTTCTCAGAACGTTCCTTGAAAGACACTTACAAGCTGCTACGACAGGAGAGAAAAAAACAGCAACCCGTGTAACAACTGGCAGTTGGAGCTCAATTCAGGGTGGTAACCTCACCAGCTTTCTCTCCCAATGCAAACCACCGACTTCCCCAGGCAGCACTGTGACTGACTCAGCCATTCTTCTCCCCTGTCTACCCTAAAGGTGGGAGGGATTATGATACTGTGATTTGCTCTTTTGACTTCCCCTAACAGGTTTCCTGGTGACATAACACAAAAAATCATGGAGTCCAGTTGTGAAGTTTAACAGCTGCCTATCACATAAGATAAGGTGTAAGCAAAAGGTTAAGGTCATGCACGATTAGGAGAAATGCACAAAGACTGGCCAGGTGGCCCACAAAGTCTATTTAACGAATAAAGGGAGAGAGGGAAACATTATTTCTGCTGTGCAGGCCGCCTCAACCTCTCTGCTTCCCTCAGTCTCCAAGAGCATCCACGGAACAGCAAACCGTCCCAAATCTGTTTCTGGGCTGCTGCTGAGTTGAAAACCTCGGCTCAGGAAGATAAAGCATTCTCAGGACAGCTCTGCCCTCAGCAGAGGGCACTGTGCCCTGACTCACAGGTGACACGGTGGCCTGTCCTGCAGCTCTGGGGGGCCTGCCCTGCTCACTGCTCCAGAGAGGACACAAAGTCTGATGCCTGGAGGGCACCTGTAAGGGATCTTGAAAAGAATCTTAAAAGGGAGAATATATGGCACATATGCCATTCACTTCATACATGTGAATCTACAACTACATATTTATATATTCTGAACACTGGATGAAAGAGTTGGGGAACATGAAGAAACCATTTTCCAGCCTCTCAACTGCATCGGCCAAGAACACCCTCTTTCCATCATCACTGAATACAGACCTAAGACCACCAGGGAGGGGGAATCCCATGTCTGGGGTGGGGGGCTCTAACTGTAACTTCCACACCTTTCACTACATTAAAATAGACCAGTGTGCTGAAAGTCCTTTAGTCTAAGGCAGCTGAGACCCTGAAGGGTTCACTGCTCTTCTGTTTTGCTGCTATTCCTGAACTTCACCACCATGACTGTTATGTTGTCAGGGCAGCCTCTGTAAAACGACTGCAAAACTATGCTCTTGGCTCCAAAGTGAGGTTCATCCAAGCGCTCCTTGATGAATCGAACAGCTTCTTCATTGCTGAAAGCATCCCAGAGGCCATCTGATGCCAAGATCATGAACTCAGGCTGGAGTTTGTCCAGGTCAAAGGTCAGGATATCTGGGTCTGGGATGACCACGTTGAGATTTTTCAGTGGATAGTCCCCCAGGGATCGAGACATGGCCAGGATGCCCTGGACCCTCCAGGAGCCATTGAAACTGATGAAACCACCTGGAAAGAGAATGAGCTCATTAGCCTGACCAACAGATAGCTCACACACCTGGTACAGTCTGGGCATGTGTACAACAGGCCGGCCTACTGCATGTGATGTATTGCACTTGCTCCCCTCACCCCACACTGGCACTGCCAGGAAGGAACAGCACCCCTGCTGCATGGCTTGAGGTTTGATACTCTTCCAGTAGACCCTCATGCCATCATCCTCGTATCTTAAAGGACTTCAAGAAAATATCAAGAATATTGAGGGTAGATGTGTATAGGTGAGGACATCGGTTTTAACTTAACACCTTGACAGCTCAGTGATTGACAGCAGGGAGCACTGGGGTGGGGATTCCAGGACAGTGGTAAAAGGCAGGTGGGTACCAGAGACAACTGCTGGGATCCATCATTTAGCTTGAGATTGCCCTTGGGTGTGCCTTTTTGATCTGAAAACAGCAGCCCAAATAGGGTCAGGATTTTTTAAAAACTGTGTATTTTAGCACAATGTTTCAAGGCTCAGCTCTTGGATCAAATTGCTTGGATTTCATTCCTGGCTCTATTATTTGTAGCTATATGTGACTTTGGATGAGAAACTCTATCTCTCTGATTCTCAGTTTCCTTGGCTGCAAAACAGGGACAAAAATAGTACCTATTCCATTGAGTTGTGAGAAATAAAGGAGTTATTCCATAAAAATCATTTAGCACAGTGCCTGAACATAACATGCACTCAATAGTATGCATTATGATTTTTCTTTTTGGCATTTTAATTATGATCTGTCTGGGCATGGGTCTCTTTGGGTTCTTATTGCTTGGGGTTCTCTGTGCCTCCTGAACTTGTGTGACTTTTTCCTTCACCAAGTTAGGGAAGTTTTCTGCCATTATTTCTTCAAATAGGTTCTCTAACCGTTGCTTACTTTCTACCTCTTCTGGCACTCCTATGATGTGAGTATTGTTATGTTTCCTGTTGTCTCACAACTCCCTTAAACTGTCCTCCTGTTTTTTAATTGTTTTTTTCTTTTTGGCTCTCCAATTGAGTGACTTTTTCTACTTTGTCTTCTAATTTGGTGATCCAATCCTCAGTTTCCACTAATCTGCTGTTTATTTCTGCTATGTCATTCTTAATTTCCTTCATAGTTTCCATATAACTTCTCAGCATCCTTACAATCAGTGTTCTGAACTCAGTATCTGATAGATTGCTTATCTCCATTTCATTTAGCTCTTCTTCTGAAGAATTCTCTTGTTCTTTCATTTGGGGCTTATTTTTTGTCTCCCCATTTTGGCTGCCTGTTTGGGTTTGTTTCTATGTATTAGGTAGACCCGGTAGGACTCCCAGTGTTTTTGGATGGTCTCTGGTGCAGGCCAATGTCAGATGCTGTTTGTGACTGGCCTTGTGTACCCTGTTTGGAACTATCAACAATCCACAGCTTGTGGTTCTCTCTGCTGTGGCTAGGTGTGTTTGGACAGGACCAAGATGCACACCAAAGTCTGCTTTTCCAAAGCCCGAATCCAGAAGCAGTTCAGGCAAAGACTCAAAGCACCCAGAGGTTCACCTCTGCCTGCAGGCTGATTTAATCTGAGTCTCTTAATGAGCCTCAGGCTGTAGACAATAGCAAGTTGTAAACTCCACAGGGTAGGGTGAGATGTTTTCCAATGGCTGGGGCAATTGCTTCTCCCCACAGACAAAAGCTGCCTAGCTGGCAAAGGTCTGCGTGAGAAAGATATCCTCTGCTGTATGGGCGAATGACTCAGGACAGGAATCCAGATGGCTGCCCTCTGAGCTCTATCCCCAGAGCCAGCACCCTGGATTCTCCTCACACAGCCGTAGTCCATTCTGCTCTCCTTCTGCCGAGCCCAAGGTGAGTAGCTGCACGTGAAACTGTGCCGTGGCCCTTTAAGAGGGTGCCTGCATTTCCAGCCATCTCTCCCTGGCAGACAGCTGATTTTTCTTTAAAGTAATTAGAACATTGTTCATTCACATATTATTTGTTGGACAGTTATTAAATACATACTCTGTGGAAGGTGATTTGCAGGCTATAAAGTCATACAAGACCCATATCTTTCTCTAAAGAACTAGACAGTCTGGCAGGTAAGAAAATCTGCAAGAATTAACAGCTACAAGCACAAAGCAACATTCTTGCAGAGAGAGACTAGCACATGCAAATACTGTAAGCAGATGAGAAGGAAGAGATGATTTCTAGTTGTGATGATTAGGGAGGAGTGAGCATTAAGGTCGGGTTGAGAACCTTGGGTGGGACTTCTATGGGCCAGGATGAATGAGAACATTCCATGAAGTGTGTCTAATAATGGGCAAGAGCATGGGCTCTTAAGTCAGACAGTCCTGGTCTCAATTCTGGTCTCACCATTCACTAGCCATGTGTCCTTGTGTACACAAGCCTCTTGGAGGCTCCATTTTCCTGGCTATAAAGTGAGGATAACATTATCGACCTCATAAGGTAGGGAAAAAGAAGGTGTATGTAAATTGTTAGGCTTAGCTCCCAACACAGTGATCATGCGATAGCAGCTGGTATCACTGTTGTTGGAAACAGGATCAGGAATGGAGACAGAAAGACTAATGTGTATTTGGTCTAGACTGGTTGCAGCGAATTGTCACACAAAAGCAGGAGGGGAGATCGATCGATGTCCGAAAAGGAAGGTTGAGGTCAGAGAAAATACACATAAAGATAATAAAGGAAACAAAGATAATAAAACCAATCATCGTCCCTTCAGCCTTGCTATAAAAGATCCCCTGGACATCGCAGTTTAGAGTAAGGTCCTCTGAGAACGGTGTCCAAATTTGCTTCTACAAAGAATCCCTGCAGGATGAGGGTGGAGTGATGGGCACAGCACGAAAAAACAGAGAGGATAAAATGGGAGTGACATTTTAGAAGAGAGCGATGGATGTTACGATGACAGTTCCAGGTGCAGCATACATACATCCTTGCCTGTGCTTACACAAGAGTAGGCTAAACTGTATCTTAAGTTCAGGGTCACAGTGGACTCATGGGGAGACAGTGTCTGCGTAAGTAAGGAAGCCAGAGTATTGCACTCATACTGCCTGCAGCTCATCAAAGCTTGAGAGACGCTCTTGAAACATTGCTTGTTCCATCCCATTAACAGAAAACCTGACCCAAACGTTCATTAAAGTGATTCTGCATCTCAAGCAGTCAATGAAGCAGGAGAGTGTAATAAAATTCAACACTTTGACTCAACAGTATAGCTTCCTACTGTGAAAACTCAAATGTTGATTAGGTTCTGGGCAGAAGCTGACCTGTAGAGATTGAGAGTCAACCTGCAGAATACCCCAGGCAGTGAGGGCCCATCCTAGTCAGAGACCCAGGGCACATGTGCTCCCCTCCTGCAGCTGGGTCTGCAGCCGGGCATATCATGCAAAGCACACACGCTGCAGCTGTCAGTCTGGGGTGGGAGGGATGCCTCCCATCCACAGGCAAAAAAGAACACAGCCTCCCAATTCGAATCATGAAAATGTAATCAATTGATAATCTTCCTTGAAGTGTCTGTCCCATGTCCCAGTGTTACCTTAGCGAGGCCGACACTGACCACCCTGACACTCCCCATTCCCTCACCTGCTTTATGTCTCTCCATAACAGTTTCCATCTGGCAATATACTCACCTTTTAATACTCTAGATAATTTACTTAATTTACTTATTTGTTTTATTTGTTAATGTCTGTCTATTACATTCCCCACCTCCATCCCAATTCTAGAATTTAAGTTTATATTCCCAACCCCAAGTTGTGGAAAAAAATGAATAAAAAAGGGATTCCCACACCCTAAAATATTTACTTACACCAAGTATTGAGCAAGGTGCTGGGAGAATAGAAATGAAAGACCAAGTTCTTGCCTCAAAGAACTCCCAGTTGTGAAGGCAAAACAGAGAAGAGAGCCATACATTATAAAAGGTGACCCCATAGGCCCACAGAGGATGCTGGGGAAAGACCAAAGAGGTACCTAACCCAGTCTGGGGATGCCTGTGGCACAGTGTGACAGGGAAGGCTTCCAAAAGGACACCCTTAAACTTAGTCTTATAGAACAAGTCATTGTTATCCACTAGACAGTGGGGACAGCATCTGCAAAAGCAGAGGTATCAGAAACATGGTTCACTGGAGGGTGGTTAGTAGTTTGGCATGGCTGGAGAGAAGCAGGATATGGAAAGCAGGGGCCCAAAGACCTTGTTAGCCTTTAAACTAGTATAGGGCTTTTTTGGCTCTTTTGGAATCTTTGGCCATGAAGAAGGGCAAATTCAGTGGCCATTTATTTGCCAATCTCAGCTACCTCAGCAGCAGTCTCTGTACTGATCACTAGTAATTAAACCTCTTATGCCCCAGGAGCTATCCAAGCAAGGTCCATCCACCCAATGCTACAGCAGACAGGGCTTAGAGGCATTCACAAGCTCACCAGCTCTCTTTATTCTCTTTCTTTCCTTCAGTTGGTAAGGCTTGTGATCATGAGACAGAGGAATGGCGTTCCCATCCTTGTCACACAGGACCCCACGGGAGTCACCCACGTTGGCCACGGTGAGGTCTTTATCTGATAGTAGAGCAATCAAGCACGTGGTACCTGAAAAACAGAAGAGGGAGACAATGTAGGAGGTCAGCAATGCTCCGAGGTGAGGCTGCTTTGCGTGGTGACTGGATTCTTCAGTCATTAAAACGGCTCCTGCTGGGGGAGAGTTTGACTCAAGCCGCTCTGGGAATGATGGCTGTTCACTTCAACAACACTGATCAAATCTGACAGTCAATTTTCTTAACCATGTTACAGTGTCACTGAAACAGGATGGGATAACATTATCATTTTCCCAAATCACTTCTGTCTCTGCTACTCTTAATTTAAACACATACCACATTTAAAAGGATTAGGAAAGAATCAAAATCAGTTTGAAGTTTCAGACAATTGATATTTTCTGCTTCTTGCTGGTGCTGAGTTTCTGTGAAATTCCATTTAAAAGTAGGGAGGGGAATGGTGCTGCTCAGCTGGACAGCCTGGAAGAGCCAGTAAATGACAGATACCAGCAGCTAGATCCTATGAAGCCATCAGGAGCCTATACAAACTTGCTTATACCATCTGACATCAAAGACTGGAGGTCAGAAACAGGTCAGCTCCAGTGTGAGATGGGGGCAGACCATAAAGGAAGAAGCAGAAAAACCTACCATGATAGCAGACATGAGGCCTCGGCAGACAGGAAGTGGGGGTTGGGGGTGGTCAGAGTCAGAGGGAAGCAAGACTGAAGACCTGCCTGCCTGGAGCCCACACAAGACATGAAAGGACAAGCTCTCTTCAAACCCTTCTTGGAAAGAGAATGGATAAAAGTAGATAGAGTTGGACAGTCTGCTCTAGTTGGAGGCTACCCTCATGACCTGCCTGACGCCCTCTTTCCAGCTCCTCTCCACTCTCCTCCCTCCCTTTTGACAATGTCACTGAGTATGCAATTACCTGCTGAAATGCACAACCCTTGCTTCACACTGATAATGCCTTCATTGTTAAAATTATTCATCAATTAGTCTTCATTAATATTTAACCTCCTCATTAAGAAAGTCATATTCCATAACAGAATTTAAACTGCATCTAAACAGCTCTTTAGTCTTCACCGAACTACACAAAAGACTAAATTCTTAAGTAGACATAAAGAATAAATACAGGCTGCTATCAAGGGCAGGGAGAATAATTAGCATATTCAGTTATTATAGTTCTATTTGAAATTCCATTCATAAGCCTGTTTAACTCTAAACGACCCTGATCAGAAATGGGAACAAATGAAATGTTGGTCAATTCAGGATTTCTGATAGGAGAATCCTTGTGAAAGGAAAAAAGACTAACCTTAGGGATTATCAAGGCAAATTGCAAATCTTTTACCTTAAAAAAAAAAACCCTGTGAAAATGAATATGTAAGCACAGGAACAATACAAAGAATTACAACTTGTTATTCTCAGTTTCTGGTATTAGTTGCATTTTGGTCCTCAAGCATCCCCACTGTGTCCGCGAGCATCTGATTGGGTTGACCTGCCCAACACAGTCAGAGCATACATTCTCCTGTAAGCACATTCCTGGAGTTTGAAAGATGAAATAGAATCACTGTGCTACCGAATATTACATGACCTGTGGGCATTCTATCACTATAACTCTTGGAGCTGCTTCTCTAGGAGGCCCTCTTCCCTTTTCACTTGGCATACTTTGAGAGAGCATGTTCCTGACCTTTGCTTCCACTGCCATCTAAGTCTATGCTGCCAGCCTGATTGACACTCCTGAGGATCCAAGGAAAGGCATTAGGGTCTCCATGTGAGGGAAGCAGAGGCATCCACCCAGCTGACCTACGAGCCCCTTCCCCATCCCCATTCCAGCCCCAGCAACTCTCCATCCATAGTTTGCTGTATTAAGCAGCCATGTAGGATTTTTGTGTTTTTTTAAGAGGGGAAAGGTCATTCTTACG